TTTGAAAGCAAATATTTGTCTTTGTAAAAGAAGGGGATTTTCAACACTTGGTGATTAAGCATATTAAAATCGTCATGGGTCATCCTGTTTCCCACGCCCAAATAAGCGTTACATTAGTTGACAAAATTAAGACTTATTGTAAATAAATGCTGCTTTGTTTAAAAAATTTGGATATGTTAAAGAGCGATGTGTTTTAATTCTTGGAAAACCTTGAAGTAGAAGCTCGCAAGATTACAACTATTTTGCGCAAGTGGTGCGACCGATATCGCGGTGGTTGCGTGCACATCAAATTCTTAAAAGCTGTTTATGTAGTTACAGAAGCAATAAAAAATTGTCTAAAAATTGAAAAAGCCGGTGTAAGATTCCCTGAGTCCTTTATACTTCTAGTGTAGTCCAGTCCACGAGTATTTTCAAGGCGACTGGTAATTACTCAATGCTTGTTGAGGAAAAGAGCCTACGTTTTACTTACTGTCAGTAAATACTAGGGGTAAAAATGATAAGAAGTGGTGTGTTTGTGCTTCACAGTGGGTCCTCGTAGCTACTCCGACAGTGTTGCAGGGAAGGTGCATATTGTGAACGCCAAACGCTGCAGTTTTCATGAGGTTTTACACATTAAAAACTTAATTTTTATTCCAGCGAATGTTTAAACACTCAGTTTAATTTGAAACCAACAAATTTTAATGTCATACACAGCCTCACTTACGCTGCGCAATACCTGTTTTTGAGCACAGTGCATTTATGGTATTTTTATCCTTCTAAGAAAACACAAATCTCTGTCTGCTATTAGGGAAAATCAATTAGCACCCGGAAAGGGTTATTGATGAGCTCCCAGTAAAGCTTAGAATCCACATTACTCGTGTATGTTGTCCTAGAGTTCCGTTTTGCATAGTTATCCCACGCGACTGTCCTATTCCGGTCCCTTCACTTTTTCTGTAATTAGCACTTGCTTGCCACTTTAGTGGACTTCAGCTGCCAGAGAATTTTATCCGGCCACGCTTATTCTCTTAGTTGGCTGCCAAACTAATGTTCGCACAAGTTCCAATGTGATAATAACAACGCCTTCTGGAGGAAGGGAACTTGAAAGTGAAAAGCCATAGCACTTACGAATTGTATGGCCTTTGAAAGCGTATTCCCGTTTTTACTTCCCATTTTATTACAGACACAATTCTACGCAACTTTACTACTAATTCTTAGTTTACAGTTGAATAGTTGATACAAAGTTTGGCACAATGGGGTCTTAATTTCTGACGTCTTAGTGCTGCATGATTCAAGTCCTTCTATTTTGAGAAAAATTTGTTGGGATGCAACAGCACTTCGATCTAGATCGGTGTTGATGATGTTTGCAATGGATCCCTTCAGATCGTTGTTGGTAGAAAACCAAAAATTTGCAGCT